ACTAGGACAAGCTATTAATGTTTGGGTTGACTCTCAAACTTGTCATCTTCCTTGCCCGTTTTGGGCTTGAAAACCTGAATGATAGTAGCATCTGGGCTACTCTATACCGGCCATCTCAAGCCACCATCTAGTCAGAAAATTGGTCATAAACGGATGGTGACCAAAAATTGACCACCCCTTCCATTTACCTCAGTCCGACCAAATCATTGGAAAATTTATGGCCCGTTTGGTTTGCAGAAACAGGGGTTTGAAATCGGAATTGGAATGGGCTATTCCGATTTCAACTGTTTGGTTGGGTGGAATTGGAATCTCATTCTCATTCCTACTGGAATGGCATTCCCCCATTTGAGGGAATGGCCATTCCCGGTCCCTCTCTTGGGAATGAAATCCCATTTCTGCTGATTTTAATTCCCATTTCCATTTTTATCTGAACCAAACAGATTATGGGAATGGATCATTCCAATTCCAATTACAGAGGATTTTGATTCCAATTCCGACTATGAACCAAACGGACCCTTATATCTGAATTTTTTTCTTCACACAATGGTTAAGAAACCATGCTCTAATACCAATTGTAAACATTATAAAGGATCTTGCATCCAATTGTATAAGGAAAAACAAGCTTAAGATTACATAAACTAGAGGGACCCGAGAATGCATTCTAGCCTTGCACCGATGACTTGAGACAATTGTTGGGATTGTGTCCAATCCCATTTCTCTCTCTCTCTCTAACTTGATGAGAGAGCTTTTTTGATGGCCATATGGATTGAGCACGAGATTGGGGACCCCTATGTATAGAAGCTCTTCCATGAGCTGTTACCTTCACATCAAGGTAACAACTCAAGACGTGCTGTGAACGGCAACCATTTCCACCATTAAATGGTGATTTGCAAGATCATTAACGGCTATAATGAATGGTTGTCATTATTGAATGGCTCTTTGCAAGGCCATTACACAAAAAAAATCCAAGTCCAAGCATTTCTTTTTCTTTTACTTCTAACAATATGCTATAGAACATTTTAGCAATGTATTCGAGAAATTTAAGGCATTCTCTAAGGATTTCATGTAGATGGGTTTGAAAATGTGTGGGAGAAGACAGCATAATCAATATAAGTATGGGTTTCAAGAGAATGATTCATTACAAAGATTGCATAATAAAAAGTATCGACGGGCTTTAATATTTGAACGCAAAACATTTTTTATTGGCATAAGCACCACACATAGAAGAGAGAATATGAATAGCAAAAAATATCTGAATAGCAAATATGATTTGTCAATATTCTTTTGGCATTTTGATAGAGTGGTTGTCGATGAGTATTATTGAGAGACAAAAGCTGAATTTGTAGCAACACAAAAGCACTCCAGCCGTTGCAACATGATTGGGAATTTTATGTTTTGTTGCTCAAATATATACATCAATAATTCTTTTTTAAGTAAAAGAAAGATGATACCCTCATGTTACAAAGAGGGTAATATATAGAAATGCGATATTTCATATGCTTGGCGGTAGATCTGTTCATGGGTCGGGTGGCCCGACGGGCTTGCCGGGCCCTCGGACGGGCTTGAACATACATTTGAGCCCGCGGGCTTGACCTCGGGCCAGAAAGCTCAGCCCGTAATAAATTTGAGCCGCACTCAGGATTTGTCAAAATAGCTCGGCCTGAGTCCGGTTCGGGCCGACCTATAGGTTAAACTCAAAAACCCTAATATCCTAAGTAACCCTTCTTCCTCATTCATCTCTTTCGAGTTAGCCGAACTGTCGAACCTCTCTTCTCTTCACAGTGACTCATTCATCTCACATTCTTAGGCAGCCACAAAACCGGTGAACACTCACCGACACAACCAATTAACTTCGACAGATCGGCGATGAGTCTTCTCCCTCTCTCTCTCTCTCGTTCCTTTTCTCACTTCTTCTCTCTCAAATCTTAGACACTGGCGAGGCAGCAAACATAGGCATCGGCGGCAAGTCCTCTCTCTCTCTGACACGAATTGACTTCACTTTTCATTGTCAAAATCTCAGCTCACTGGCGAACATAGTCACCGGTAGGTGAGTCCTCTGTTAAGTCGGGCTTTGAGCTCGAGCTTGAGCTTTGGGCTTTTTATCAGGGTCGGGCTCGGGCCCAAGTTATAGGCCCGTTGGTTGGGCCAGGCTCGGGCTTGGGCCTAATAAAATCTTGTTTATGAAGAATAAAAGCCCGGCTCGAGCCCAGACGGGGCCGGCCCATGAACAGGTCTACTTGGCTGAGTAGTAAATATAATTGAATGTAATCAAGATGCTTATAAGCTTGTAATGGAGTGTGGAGAGAGAATTGTTTTTTAAAGTTGTGTTAGCATGTTTGTACCAGATTAGATTAGTTTTGCATCTAAGATTATGGAAGCTAAAATTGAAAATGGTAGCTCTCCTTGCGTTGATGGCATACACAAGGATGTCTATAACAAAAATGCCAATTTTGAACAAGGTGTAAAAATGAAACATGTGAAATGATTTAAAACAAGGTGATATATACATGCTTTCTTTAAAAGAGGCAAATGACTGCTTATTTTAATAAAATTTAATTACAGTTTTTATAATTTAGGAATCTAGAGGTGGGGAATATTTGAATCATGTGCCTAAGGGGAAGAAGACAAGGGCACAAGAATTTAATCTGCTTCTCTAATATTCACGAGTATTAAGGTTTGGTATTTTTGGTATTAAAATTTTGGGTCATTTAATAGAACACCCCTATAATTTTACAGATTTTACTTAAACCTATTTTATAGTTTTCATTTTATTAAATACCCCTATAGTTTGCAACCTGTTACTTAATCAATCTGTAACTAAGATAGTATTTGTTTTGCCATTTGAAAATACTAATATGATCATCTAAACTGAATGGAAAATGTTCAAGGGCATTGACCCATGATTCTTTATTCCAAAAGTACCTCTAACACTTTTTCGACGAAATTGACCAAATAAAGCCAATTAGAGTGGTTGTTCATGTTTTACTGGGGCAGAAGTGACATTTCTATTTTTAGTTTTTTTTTAAATTTATTCAAATGGACATTTGGGTCAAAACTGTCATTTTCATTGGCATTTAATGGAAGGTCGATTAAGTAAATCGGTTGCAAATGGGGTGTTTTAGTAAAAAGCAAACTATAGAGTAGCTTTAAGTATATCTATGGAATTATATGGGTGTTTTAGTAAATAACCCTAAAATTTGATATTTTTTGTACTAAAATTCTCATACTATAAGAAACAAGGCATGGGAAAATAGTGAGACTGCTAAAGATAGATGTGATTAAGAGAGCCACATTCTAGATGATTTGCAAGTAAGTTATTGTCCACATGTTTTGAATTTTGGCATACTCAATATAGATTTGCAATATACTTATACCATACCATTAGGGATGACACTTTGTACCCTACCCAATAGGTACTCGCCCCAATGAGATTTTTTTTTTTTTTGCTTGAAAAGACAAATTTTAGGGTGGCAAATGGGTTTTGGGGGTCAGTACAAGGCAAGTCTACCCCTGAAACAGGTCAAAACCCAAAACTTTGTCGTGTATCAGTGAGTTATTTATACAATATGTATTAGCTGGCCAATACATTGCAAATTTTGATCATTGATGACGACAAAGGCTGTAGCAATTTAATGAGGTGTGGTTAGTTAATTGGGACTTGAAAAGGCCAAGGTTTCGAATGAGAGTTTAGGAGGGAAAATTTCCCCGTCCTTGGGTACCCGGGCTCTCCGACCTGGTGGGGTCGAGTATGGAGAGTGCTTTGATAGGGTCGGGGTCGGGGATGGGGTTAAAATTGAATCTCCGATTGGGTTTGGTGACAGGGATGGGGAATGCAATTCCTGCCCTGTTCCGACCTTGATTAATATATATAAATATATATAATATTTATATTATAATTACACAAATAATAAAAACTAAAAAAAGTATCATACAAAAACTTAAAACTCTCGACTCTTGAGAGTTTCTTAACTCTCTTCTACTACCTAAACTAATTAACTCGACACTTGATAGGAAAAGAAGAAAGAACAGAGGGTAGTGCCTAAAACTCAAAACCCTACCCTTCTTTAGTTCTTCTTCCGTTCTTAACCTATCCCAGTGTCTTCATTATCAGTAGTTGTCGTTGGTACTCTCTCTCTCTCTCTTTCAGGTGAGGCAACGCCTCAAGCCCACAAAGGTCCTCTCTCTCTCTCTTACTTTCAACTCAATGCTCACAAGTCATAGATTTGAAACTTTGTAACTCATGTGAATCAATGTGAATCTCAGTTGCAGATTTGAGATGGAGGAGCTTTCCTTTCCCTAATAGGGAATTCAAAAGCAGTTGGGGATCCAGGTTTCCGATGAGGAATTCATCCCTAGTAGGGTTGAGGATGGAAAAGCATTTCTTTCTCCAATGGAAATCAGGGACGGGGGATGGGGGATGATTTGGAAATCGGGGTCGGGGATGGGAAATGTAACCCCCGCCCCGTTGTCATTCCTAAGGAGAGTAAGAGCAAATAGGAATAGTGTTATTAATAAAAAAAGAGAGCAAATAAGAGTAGTGAAGTGCATAAGAAGGTGTTTTGTCTGAGGTCAAGGGCCATAAGCTCTCTATAATGGCTAAGCATTAACCTCACACAGGGCGCCTCACAACTACCTCACAGGCATATCTTACCGTGCATTGAAAACATTTCCCGTAAATAATAACACACAAGTACGAAATATTCTCAATGTACAATGGGATGTGCCTGTGAGGTCGAGGAGCAGATCTGTTCTCGAGATCATAATGCCTGCCATTAAGGTGAGAAATAAAATGATAGAATTGCCCTTTAAGGTCTATATTATGCCAATAATACCCTTGGCATTCCACGTGTCCAAATATGAGTGGAGATATGAACTTTTGCCACATAAATCCTTAATCTCAATCTCGCCAAACTTAACTGGCCTGACTTGAGACCTTTCTTGGGATTGAGATTATTCAATGGGTTTAGGTCACATTTTTTTATAGACCCCCTAACCCTAATCCGAGCCTCATGTGGTCGAAAATCTTAAGTCGGGCAACCCGCCTTTGCAGCCCTTTCGGGGGTTATGGGCTAGGAAAATAGGACACCCAGATGGTGATTACTCGAACACCATCTATTCTGAGAGTCGGAGAGAGTGAATTGAATTGACAGACTCCCTCCCTGAGCACGCGCCACGCATTCCAACTTGATCACAGAAAGGCGAGGGATCAACCACTGGAACAGCAGCAGCCATTTTTTTTTTTTTTCTGTTTGTATTTGGCCGAGCTGACTCAATCAAGTCTGTCAAGTTCGTATGAAATTCCTACAGCAATCGACCAGGAAATAGGTAATCTTCTAACAAGAGTCGTTATCGTAGGTATACTGGGCTGAGCTTGTTTTCTGAAAACACCAATTTATGCCAAATCACACTGGAACACAGGGTTTGCTCCTTTTTATTGCCTTGGCATAGATGTTTCTCGATATTCCGTCCCTAGTAAGAGGATCTTGACTTACTTCAATAGAGTTCTGGATCAAGTCGAGTTTTTGGATTTTGGAAGTGTTTGGAGGTGGGGGTGGAAAGGGTGAAGGCGGGATTTTCGAAGGTGTTGTGAGCAGAAGAAGATTGGTGTTTGATTATGGAAGACATAGAAGATTTGTTAGTTGGAAGTGGAGGAGCTCCACCTGGCTTTCGCTTACCATTGACGGCCGTGGGAATGAAGCCCAGGAGGAACAAGCCCAATAACCATGCCAGCAAAGAGCAGAACACTAAATTTCAAGGCCTCTCACCCACTTCCTCACCTGAAGTACCAGGCACCCAGGTTCTCAAGTTCTGTCAATCTTGATCAATTGTTTTCTTGAAATTTTCTGTATGCTTATCTCTGTTATTCTTGATGTCGCAGACTATTTACATGAAAACTTTTGGGTGCTCACATAACCAGGCAAGTCTTCCCTTTCATCCATTTGTTCTTCCCTTCCTTTGTTACCGCATGCTTGTTTGTGGGTTCATGCATCATGCTCCTTCAGTTCATGAATCATAATTTTCAAGCATTTTTGACGGAAGAACTCAGGAAAGAAAGAAGCATATGTAGATATTTAAGAAGAGATCAAGCTCTAATAAAATTTCTGACTCCAACCTCAACAATGCAATATAGATGTCAAAATGCGAGCACATTTATCAAACTTTTAGCATTTATATGCCCTCCAACTTTAGTGGGTGGCTTCTCAATCTTGGATCCAATTGGGTATTATGGTATAAAAAATGAGGTAATACTGGGAGGGGGGGTGGTGGTCTGGGACCCCTTTCTCACTTGAAGATCTCGTTGCAAAGCTCCGTAGAAAATGGGGCCTGTTGGTGGCTTTGGAAGTGAACTCGTGAATAGGGCTTCGCTGTCCTGTTTGCCGTCAGAGCAGGAGGCCTACTGAATTCTTAGAGAATGGTATGAAGGGCTGGTGGTTGAAGGTTTTAAACTCTGGGTGGGAATCGAGCACTGATTTGTGCTGGATTAGGGTGATTGGGTTGCTGCTTCATCTGTGGTGTTTAGTGGTGATTCAAACAATCCGTGAGATTTGCAGAGGCTATATCTAGGTTGATAACACTAAAGTTGAAATGGAGGGTTGCGACTGGGTTTGAATGGAGGCTTCAGTGGAGGGGTGTCTTGCCATCAACTGTCAGCATTGTTTCTAGTGGAGTAGTGTATGTTGTGGCAGTGTAGCTGAAATTTTGCTTGGGGTGGTTCCGTTGTGGGAAGACATTTTATTTTTGATCAATAACTCTAAAAAATTTCATTAATTAAGAAGCTTTAATATACAACAAGAAGTTACAAAGAAATCAGCACAGAAGCTGACCCAAGACAGAATTACTAAAGTGCCCAAAACATCTCTCTTCTTTGAACCCCTTGCTTTGCTAAGCTATCAGCCAATCTGTTGGCTGATCTCCTAGCCCAACCCACCTGAATAGACGTATTTCTAGACATCCATTTGAACCTTCTGAAATCATTCTTCAGCTGCTAGGTCACTCCTCCCCCTTTTTGCAACCATTTTATCAGAGTTTTTGAGTCTCCCTCGATGATCAGTCTACTAATCCCCAGCTCTTTGGCCTTCTCAACCCCATATACTGCAGCTAGAAACTCTGCCCTAGCTACATCACCCTCCTCCACAGGACCGGAGAACAACGCAAAAATGGAGCCATTTTCATTTCTAATGGCCCCCCAATACCTGAAGGGCCTGGATTACCCACACAACTCCCATCGAAATTCAGCTTCATCCAACCCTCTGTTGGAGGGGACCATGTTTCATAAATCTGTTGCCTCATAGTTGATGAAGTAGCACTAAGTCCCCAAACCCTGAAGAAGTCTTCAACTTTAAAATTTGAGAACTGCTTTAAGCTTTTTACCCAATGTTCCACCCTCAATGTTATTGTTTCCACAAGAGCTTCCTTGCATTTTTCCTTACTTTCAAATATTCTATCATTTCTTTCCTCCCAAATAGTTCAAAGTATTGCTGCTTTAGTGCACCTCCAGAGAATCCTTCCCCTCCTTGTCTTACCACTGCAACTATTAGGGTTGAATAAACCATCCAACCGGTCAGGAGAAGACCACCTGCACCCAAAAAGAGAAGTAAACCAATTCCAAATGAAGCTGACAAAGGGGCAAGATAAAAAAAAGGTGGATAGTAGTCTCACCATTCAACTTACACAAGACACACCAGTTAGGGGACAAGCACCTATTTGGCCTCTTCCTTTGAAGTACATCAAAGGTATTAATACAACCATGAAAGACTTCCCAACAAAAAACATTGATTTTAGGGGGAATAGGATGGTACCAAATTTCTTTGACTGGAAACTGAAGAGAAGACTGTGTGGCAATCATCGAATGAAAAAGGATTTACAAGAAAAAGATCCATCCGGATTAGGACCCCAAATTCTAGAATCTGACCCACCTTCCCCCAAAAAAACTGAATTCAGCAAACCTAACAACTCAGAGACTGCAAGCAGTTCAGATTCTCTAAGATTCCTATTAAAACCAAGGTTCCAATTCAATCTTGGCAAGTGAGAATGAGGAAATCAGAAATAGGCATTCCCTCGAACCTAGACAGATCACAAAGAGAAGGAAATTTCTCCCCTAAAGGAGTATCCCCAATCCACAAATCCTCCCAAAATCTGATTTTACTACCAGAATACAAATCATACCTGACGAGATTAAGGAACATAGGGAGGATATCATGAATAGCCTTCCAGGGAGCAGCCAAGTTAGCCCTACATAGACAACCAACATCCCATCCGTTGCATGACCTACCATGAATGCTTGCAACCACTTTGTGCCATAATTTCTCATTTTCATTTAGAAACCTCTAGAGCCATTTGCCCAGCAAAGCCTGATTCTTCATTCTAACATTACCAATACCCAAACCCCCTTTCTCTTTCCATTTACTCACCTTCTCCCATCTAACCAAATGATCATTCTTTTTTTCCCCTGGCTCCCATAGAAAACCCCTCATGATTTTTTCAACTTTCCTCACTATCCTTTATGGCATCCTAAACATTGACATATAATACACTGGGAGATTTGCTAAAGTGGATTTAATTAGTGTTATTCTCCCCCCCAATGAAATATAATTTCTTTTCCATGCCACCAATCTTTTCTCTATGCTTTCCACCACCGGAGCCAAAAAACTAGCAGATCTAGGATTATCTCTAAGGGGTAAACCCAAATATTTCATTGGCCACTCACCTTTCTCACAACCTAAGGAGCTTGCTAGAAACATTTACACCTAGATTTTTGTCTCTGGTAAATTTCCTCTTTCCTTAATACTTCTTCCAGCTCACACTTCAGCCTCCACCTTTCCTTCCTTTCCTCCCCACAAAGAATTCTAAGTGCTTCCTTCTTATCCAACTCCTCTACCCTTGAGGTAATTTTTTTCCTTAGACTCCACCTTTCCAAAGAGATCTTTATTCCAATCTTTTATCTTCTCCTTTAACCTCTTTAACTTCCTCAATAAACTAACACCTCTCCTTGAGCCCTTGCAACCAAGATTTAACCTTCTCCACAAAGGTGCGGTCTTCCAACCACATGTTCTCAAATCTAAATTGTGAAGAGTCACTGTATGAAGTTTCTTGTGCTAGGTAGATAAGGCAGTGATTAGAGGTAGCTCTAGGCAAAGCTTGAGAAACTAAGCTCTCCTACATAACTTCCTAATCTATTGAAAAGGAAATCTATCTAGTTTGGAGCAAATCAGCGACTCTTGAAAATTCAATCCCCTTGCACCCCGGATACTCCTAATCCATCTCTTGTCTATCTCCTAAAGTTTTGTTTCTTAAAATAACACCACATCTGACTTCTCCTTTTTGAGGGTTTCTCTTATCAGCCTTCTTTTCCTTGCACTCCCTAGTCCTCTCACATTCCAACTTAAGATCTTCATTCTAAATCAAACTTAAAGTCCAATGTTCTAAACCTTGACTAAGAACCTTCCACTCTTCTCCCTCTCCTCTTTCTCTCTTCCTTATCAAAGTCTATCTCACTAACCAATTTGTTCACTTCACTCTTTTTTCTCTTCCTTTGTCCCTCCCTTTATCCTTCATTGAGACACCTTCACCCCTAAAAGCTTCTTATATTTCTAGACAGCAAGGGTATTTGTGTAACATTGCAAGTTTAGAGGGCTTATATTTGGGGACATAGCATACTGAAGTGGATAAGCATTTTGTTCGAGGAAAGGTGGCTGTTGGAGAAATCTGCATACCCTATGTTTAGACAGGAGGTAGTTCGCAGACATCTTAGCTAAAGCAATTTGTAAAATACAATTAACTAGTGTTCTGGGCAAGTTGGGAATAATAGATATATAAATTATCTTGAGGGGTATTCATAAAAAAAGCAGCTTGTGTTATGGGCCCGTGAATAGGATCTCGTCACGGGTCGGTCCACGGGGAAAACCTCCTGTTTTCCCTTGTTCCTCCCTGCTCTTGATGAACCTATCTTGGCTGCCCTAATGGTGATTTGTCCAAGAGATCACCTAACTCTCCTTATTCTCTTCTTGACTGAAATTTTCGATGCCTTTATTGAATAATATCAACTCCTTAAATAGGAGATTACAAGAGATAAGAGTCCTACTTTTAGGAAGACTCCCTACTAATCTATCCTATTGAACTGATAAGATAAGATAAGACTCCCTTAATCTATCCTATTGAACTGATAAGATAAGATAAGACTCTTACTAATCCCTGCTACTTAAAGCAGATAAGGTAAGAATACTGAATAGATAAGATAGGATGAGAACACTAAATTGTTGCTACTGAGAACACTAAATTACTGCTGCTGGTGCACTAAATTACTGCTGCTGCTGCCGGCGCCCACATCATTACTCCCCTCCTGGACTACGAGCTTGTCCTCAAGCTCGAATTCAGGATGGGTGTCTTGAAACACAATCAAAGGAATCCTGGATAGGTGGAATGATTTTGCCCTCCTGGATTGGGTTCCAATGAAGAGGGTTCATCCTCAGACAGCTGTAGTGAGATACCAAAATTTGACCATGCGTAGTTGCATTCTTTGCTGCGGCCAACTGTAGCCTTAAGGTACTTCTGAGATGTCTTGAATTGTAGAGTACAAAGATTGTGAAGGCCAAGCTGGTGCCACTGAACCGCATCATCTAGATCCTCTTCTATTGCTTGCTTTAGCGTGTACAGAGCTCGCTCTTCCACTTTCGTCAAATCATTATGTCCAGTTCCAAACGTTGTTGCAATTTCATGCTGAGCCTTGTGAACCATGGCAAGTCCTGCCCATGCTATCCGAAGCTCAATTGTTGCATAGTCTCCTTCTCTGAGTATTGAAGCCATTTCATTCGCAGTCCAYGAAAGTTGTTCAGTGGGATCTTGAGACCTTTCTGCATCCTTGATACGATGAAGTGCAACARCATATCGAGTTGACATGCAATTAGGCTCCAGTTTTGCTGCCTTCTCCAGGCACCTTCCAACACTTCTATGATCACCAGCCAAATAGTATGCATTAGCAAGATTCACCCAGATATGTGCAGCCCTAGGATCTGATCTGACTGCAGCTAACAAACACTCCTTTGCAACATTTGCAGCCGCAACATGAGGCATACAATCTCCTTCACCAGCACTTGCCCCAACACCTGCAACAACTTGAAGATATGCAATCCCAAGATTCTGCGACACCTCGACGACATCGGATTCTTGCTTAATCGGGACATTCTGGGTGTTGCTAACTTGCGCTAGGGCAACGACCTGCTGCTCGCCTGACGATTCTGCCACGTTTGGTCGGCGGCCGGTTGTGGTTGCAGCCCCTTCTGGGTTCCTTTCCTTGCTGGAAAAGTACAACTCCATCAAACGCCTTAATTCTCGGACGTCGCCTTTGATCTCACGCACCTCCGTGCTGTTTTCCATGATCTTGAGCTCCAGATCCTGAACCCTAGTCTTCAGCTGCTCAAGGTCACCCATGACGCCTTGCTCTGATACCAAATTGTTATGGGCCCGCGAATAGGATCTCGTCACGGGTCGGTTCACGGGGAAAACCTCCTGTTTTCCCTTGTTCCTCCCTGCTCTTGATGAACCTATCTTGGCCGCCCTAATGGTGATTTGTCCAAGAGATCACCTAACTCTCCTTACTCTCTTCTTGACTGAAATTTTCGATGCCTTTATTGAATACTATCAGCTCCTTAAATAGGAGATTACAAGAGATAAGAGTCCTACTTTTAAGAAGACTCTTTACTAATTAGGAAGACTCCCTACTAATCTATCCTACTGAATTGATAAGATAAGATAAGACTGAACTGATAAGATAAGATAAGACTGAACTGTTAAGATAAGATAAGACTCCCTTAATCTATCCTACTGAACTGATAAGATAAGATAAGACTCCTACTAATCCCTGCTACTGAAAGCAGACAAGGTAAGAATACTGAATAGATAAGATAGGATGAGAACACTAAATTGTTGCTGCTGCTGCACTCAATTACTGCTGCTGCTGCACTAAATTACTGCTGCTGCTGCCGGTGCCCACATCAGCTTGAGGGTAGAGTCTTAGAATAAGCGTTTTATCTTGTAATCAGATGTAATATTGTAATTTTACTCTATCTATCTATTAATAATGTTAAAAGTGGGAGTGAGGTCTAGATGCTGGACTTTTTATTCACTAAAATACCCTATTTAAAGTGTGCCATTGAGAATTTCAGCAACCAGAGACCCACTAAATTACTGAATGATGATGCATGGGCATTGATATTATTTTACCCAAAAATTTTATCAGATATAAAAAATATCCCTGAAATCGTTCCATTTTAAGTGTAGAATCTTTTCAGCATTTGACTTTCAACACCTATTTCAACAATTATAAAACTGCACCTCATCTTTACTTTTAGGAGATTTTGTTTTTCAAATGATAAGATCTAACTCTACATGGATTAAGAGTCCCATATTGGCAACAGCCCCATAAGCCTCCGATGACATGGTGAGGTTTTTTATAATTTGAAATGTGCAGACGGCTGTCAGAGTTTTGTTGGTTTCTGAACCAACCTGCAGCATCATTTTAAATGTTGAGCCAGTTCTGACTATAATTTTCCCTTTTCTTTTGAGTAATACCATCACAATTTATGTTTTATGCTTCCTTAGTAATGCATGTATCTGATCGACTGATCATTGCTATTTTGTGTGTATGTTTATTGCATATACTGAGAGTTGTTGCTCATTACATATTTAAGTTGCAAATTTAATTGTCATTCTGGATCTTTGCACTCATTTAATGTCATTGTATCAGAGTGATAGCGAGTACATGGCTGGTCAGCTTGCAGCGTTTGGATATGTGTTGAGTGACAATCCTGAGGAGTCTGACCTCTGGCTGATAAATACGTGAGAATGATCTTTCATGTTTCAGTTTTTCTTTCACAATTAGTAGACATACTTTTCTGTACTCTAGTCTGTTCTCTTTGGATTTTTTTTTATTTTCTTACAAGTAAACTATCATGCCTTTTATACATGCCTTATAGGTGTTACCATACTGATGATTGACAATATAGGCATGATATTGGGATTTTGATGCTATACTCTAGCTCAGTTGTTTTATGCTACATTTTGTGATTTATTTTTTCAAGCATCAGATGGTCTAAGCTCAGTTGTTTTATACAACCTTTGGTGTGTGTGGGGGGATCACCCTTTCTTGGCCCTTTTTCCTTGACTATTATAATCTGACCTCCATTAAAGATTGCTTGGTTTCCCATTGTGTTTCAGCCTCCAACAATGTGTTGCATTGGGATTTGGGATTAAGAAGGGATTTAAGGCATTCTGAAATGTCAGATGTCACTTCCATGTTTCCCATTTTAGAAGAAATCCACATTGACTCCTGTAGAGATGGGGACAGTGAGGTTTAAAGTTGTAATTTTACTTCTTGTTTTTACATATTCTTCCACTTTTATTTTGTATTATACTTCTTGTATCTTAGAGACAGAATTGTCCTTTTACTTTTCATTAATATAAATACGTTCCTCTCAGTGTGGTAAAAAATGATCAGACACACCTCAAATCTGTTCATCTTCTCTTGTTTTGGACTGTACTGACATGGTATCAGAGCAAGTTCAATCCTCTTGCTATTGATCTCAGCCCTCTTGCTCTTCAGTTGAGCATTGTTTTGGTCTCTCTCTCTCTCTCTTGCCCATTTACACTGGTATAGTATATCTTCTTGGTCTGTTTTGATTAGAACAAGGAGATTTGATTTTTCTGGGCTGGGATGCCATTCAGGAGATTTGATTTTTAAAGTGATAAGTATAATTTTGTTATTTATATACTGGATTTGAAAGCCAGCATGTGCAGGGGAAAGACTGCGTAAATCTGTCCTTCCCCAGACCCGCATTGGTGGGAGCCTTGTCCACTTGGCTGCCCTTTTTATTTGAAAGTCAGCATGTGGGAATGCAAATTGTAAAAGGAAGCGGGTTTCAAATGCTAAAATGAAGGAGCGGCCTCCAGTTTGGGGCCCAATTTATTTGGTTGAATGCTGTTTGTTCTTCAAGCCTTCATTTCTTTCATTCATTTCTTTTTTTGATACATTATACTGATTCCCAAACACCTCTCTACCTTGAAATGAAAAGATTGTTTCTATTTGATAGAGAAATATATGGTGTGTATGCATATAGACATGGGTGCATGTACACACGTATAGATGCCTGTATACTGTTAATTTCCAACTTATTTCGTTTCTAGTATGTGGCGTACCATTTAGATGGTAAATTAGCTGGTAGTTCACTTATAGCTTAGCTGTAAATTTTCTCAGTATCTTGATCTTTCTTAGATCATTTCCTTGCATTCTAGATTTGGAAATTCCAATTTTCTTAAGAAAAATGCTCAAAATTATTGATCTGGTTGAGTATTTTTCAGTATTATGAGAAAGAAAATGTAGTTAGTCTCTGATTTTGATCTTGAACATACATTCTTATAAGATGTTTTTTTTGATGAATACATTCTTATAAGATGTTAATTCACATACTACAAACAGATGTACTGTAAAGTCTCCTAGTCAGTCTGCCATGGATACTTTAATTATAAGATGTAAGAATGCGAAAAAGCCATTGGTGGTGGCTGGATGTGTACCTCAAGGCAGTCGAGATCTAAAGGAATTACAAGGAGTTAGTATAGTTGGAGTTCAGCAAATTGATCGTGTGGTTGAAGTTGTAGAAGAGACTCTAAAAGGTCATGAAGTGCGACTTTTGAACCGCAAGACATTGCCTGCACTTGACCTTCCTAAGGTATCTTAACATTTCATAACAATTATGACTATGTGCTTGTGAGTTGGAACTTGTGGCCATGCCATCTTTCCTTATGTTGTTTTATAGTTGGTGTTTCAATTATTCTTACATTTGGTTTTCTGTTTTCTTATTTGAGAGAGTTGTATTAATGTGGTTCTTCCAACAGGTGAGAAAGAACGAATTTATTGAGATTCTTCCCATTAATGTTGGTTGTTTAGGTGCTTGCACTTATTGCAAGACAAAGCATGCTCGTGGGCATTTAGGTAGTTATACTGTGGACAGCCTTGTAAGTACCTAAATAATAGACATGATAATTGCTTTAAAATTTCCGGTGAAGATTATTTCAAGCTTCAACACATGTTGCAGGTAGAGCGTGTGCGGACTGTTATAGCTGATGGAGTGAAGGAAATATGGCTAAGCAGTGAAGATACTGGAGCATATGGTAATTCATTACTGTTGTTTCTAATTGTTACTCTACTCTTTTTTTTTTTCCTGATAGCAAAAGTAGTTCTTGCTTCTGAACTATCTTAACATGGATTGGATTAAATAACAAGCAAATGCCAGGTTTAAATGATTTTCATAGATTTGATCCAGTGCACTGCCTTCTTCTTTGGATGATATCATTTGGGGATGGCAGGTAGTGGCGAGCCCATCTTCTTCTAGGAATTCCATCTCTCAAATTTGGTTCTCATCAACATCGCTTCAGTTTGGGCAATCTAAGATGGTCAGGCACAGGAAGAGAACCATGGACATATTATGGCTGTTTGTTCTGAGTCTACAAGGAATTCTACAAGGGCATAATTGATGGCTCCACTGCAAGTTTTGATTGAAGCTTTGATTATAGAGATATCTTTGAATGGAATTCAAGAGCAATTCTGGGTTGAATCAAAAACAATACCAACTATCTATGAACTTTTAGACACAGTGGGAGATATTAAAAGATGGTTAAGGAATTGAGAATAATATTGACAATTTACATGGACCTATCTGAAGGGGGATTACAAGGGCTTGCCTATCACATTAAGGGGGGTGCTTGGCAAACTTGTAATGCAATCCATTCTTTTTCTCACAAATTAATTAAGTTTCTGGTTACCAATAAAAAATAGAAGGTTTTCATGATTCTCCTGGCATTCTTCATATCTTATCCATTGTGTCTGTTACAGCTCCCAGACTTGGGTTTACTATGTTTACTTTTCTGTTTGATGAACATTTAAAGAGCATTATCTTTTTTTGATGAATAATAAAGCATTTCATTAAAATTTTTTTAAGATGGGTTTACAATTAATACAACATTTAGTTTTCCCAAGAAGTGTGAGATGCAGCCTCAAAAGTCAAAATAAATTACAGTGTAGCCCAGAAAAATTGACCCCTGTTCATCCCTTGCTTAGCTAGTAGCTCTGCCAGCCCATTTGCCGATCTTCTCTCCCACTGAATTCTGACTGTTATGTTGGTTCGGCTGATATGTTGTTATTCTCTTGTCTGGGCTGGGTATTAGAGTCTCTAGTTAATGGGCCTTAGTAACTGGGCCTAATTGTATCTTGTGTTTTATTAGACTGGGTGTTCCATCACTAATCAGGGGCATCCTGGTCCTTTCATGTAAATTATGTATTACTCTTATATTAGTGAACAGTGCCGGCTGATGAACAGTGCCCATTCGAACACATCAGACTCTCCTCTCTTCTTCTTCCTCTTCTTCTTCTCAGCTCTCTCAACAGGTTCAGTTCGGCAAACATGGTATCAGAGCTCTAGGTCTGGTCGTAGAACACCTCTCTCGCCTGGTTACAGCAGCTGTCTCGCACTTCTCTCTCTATCTT